GGAACGGCAGCGCGCAGTGAGTCGGCCGCAAGGCCCACCGCTCGAAAGGCTTGAACTTCATTATATTCCAAGTTCGCCTTGAGCGGTGGTTATTATATACTTTTAGGCCACTTCACAATACAACGCAAGTGGCCACGCATAAAAACATTTTTTTGCGATAACCAAGGCAGCCTCCTAAGGAGCAACGCCAGCGGGAGTCGCCATGTAGAATTTACATACATGCAACTTTCGTGTTTATCAACACGACCTTTCGTATGGCCAGACATTTGCTTTGATGTGCAGATGCGTTTCGTAGCACGATCGTGTTCATCAACACGATCTCAGCATGCATATTCGTTAGCTCCATTGCGTTGAGAATGATCTGACAGCTGGTGGCAACACCTGCCTCGCATAGGCGAGGCAGATTACAAGTTGCTTTAACTTGCTCAGATCCTCTTTCTCCGCCCACCCGTGTCTCATTCTTCTCCGCCCTCGAGTGCCGAAGCGTTTTTGGGGGCGCACCGAGGGGGCGCCAAAGCGTGCTTGGCGAAGAAATCGGGGCCCAGGGTGTTCCTTCTTACCTTACTTTGCAGCTGGGGCTATACTGACTTTGAGCCCAGCTGCCTGCAGACCTGAGGATTGACGGGGTAAAAGGGTGACGGATTCTTTTCCTCTGTTCCCGAGTCCTACCCTCACGGGCGGGATTCGGGGCGGGGTGTGTGTGAATAGAACCCGTATAATACCCTCATATATACTCCTTATCCTCACCTCTCCTGCGCCTGGCCGTTTGGGCTCAGGTATTGGGGCAGATCGATCAGACCTTTGACCGTGCAGGAGGGGGAGACATCCATCTATCCCTCCTTCCCTCTACCAACGGATCAGGGGTTCTGTGCCCTTGTACTTCAACCCCATACACAGATGTAGGGTGGAGGCTGTGTGTACTCGGGTCGGGGTCTCGAGAGCATCCGGGAGACTTCCCACAAGTCGTCCATGGCGCGCGTGTCGACGATGTTCGCGGCTGTCTGCGCACCTGGGTGGGAGGGCTCTTGAGAGGACGTCCTGTCCGCCTTCTCAGGTGCGCTCACTATTGCCTCCAGCTCGAGGTCGGCCTGGGACTCGAAGGGGTCGCTCTTCGGCTCTCCAGAAACCAAGTCGGTCGGAAGGAAATTCGAAGACTCGTTCGGAGGCCCCTCAATGCTGAAGTCGTGGTTGCTGACATCGTCGATATCATTCATGGGGTCATAATCCTGCTGATCCATGTTGATACTCCGTGTCGTAGAAGCTGGTGGCGTCGGTCCTCGGGCAGATGTTCCGAGGTCCTCCCATCGCCTGTTCATTTCAGTAGTGAGGTCTGAGTAGTACTGCGTGTCATAGTCGGGCTTGTCTATGTCGCTGTGGTTGTGTGGGGCGTCTGGAATGTGGTGTGCTTCCATTTGTCGCTTCTGTCGTTGTCGCTTGCTGTCGGGGTTGGGCTTTTTGGGTGGTGCTGGTGGGTGTGTGAAGTGGGTGGGCAGCTGGAGTTGCCGTATCGTAACTGATTTAGCTGCTCCTCGGATTCGCAAGGTCTGTCCAATGTGTTTTTTTCCACGGCGCCGCTGTCGCCTCCAAGCCGATGAAGTACTTGCGGGCGTCGTGGCTGACCAGTGCGTAGTCGATGAGTGAAGCCGTAGTGGTGCCCTTCTTGCTGTTGTAGGTGAAGCAGGTGTAGCCGTCTGGGATCGTGGCGATGTCGGCGCCCATAGCCTGCGGCCAACCTGAAGCCCATAGTCGTTCTGGTGTTGTGTTCCAACCTCCGACTGCAATCCAGGGGTGTTGACAGCTCGTCACAAACGCTGCCAAAGAAGTGAGCTTGGTGTTGTTGATGCCGTGGAGGCTGCCCGTCGAGTCCAGGTATACGCTGATCACCAGGAGGCTAAACCCACGTAGATGCCAGATCATGGGCACCCAGTCCAGGTAGCGGTGTTGCGGGCTGCCTGGTGGTAGTTGTAGAAGCCCTGCTGTCGTGGATGATGCCGTGTGGTCGGCCGCCTGCTCGCGGACGCACTCGCTCTGGTGGTAGGAGATGATGCCGGCACAGGTGCCACCGTTGGAACCGTTGTCGCTCTTGGTGGACTGTCGCGCAGGAGAGAACGCTGCTTTGTAGCCCATGTTCATCACATCGCGCTCTGCGTCCATCATCTCGTGTGCACGTAGGTGGGTCTCTTGGATGGCGAAGGCGTCGAAGCGCTTCTCGCGGCGAGCGTCCGCTAAGAAGTCCTTCACCTTGGTGCCCCACTCCGTGCAGTTGCCGACGAAGATAGTTCGCTCCGCGTCGCCGCTAAGGTCGGCATGGCGACGGGAGCGGAGTAACCCCTATTCCTGGCGCCCCGCGGGGGGCGCCGCCTCGGCCAGTCGGGCCTTGGCGCGCACCTCCTCCGGGAGCTCCTCCTTCGACTTGCCTGCGCTGGCCGCCGTCGTCCTCGGGGTCGTCGGTCGTGATGCTGCTGCTGCTGCTGGTGCTGGTGTCGGCGGTGGCTGTTGTTGCCCAGGTGGTTGTGGTTGTGGCTGGTCGGCTGCGATTCCGCTCTCCGCCTTGCGCTTCTTGGCGGCCTGACGGATCTCCTCGCGGTTCTTCTGTGCAGCCTCTCGTGCTTGTTGGAGATGCTGACGTAGCTCTCGCATGTATGTCTCTGCGTCGTCTTTGTATGACTGTAGGAGTTGCTTTTTCACATTGGCAACCTCAGCTCGCGCATCCTGGTCGAAGTCGTCACTGTCCTCCTCCAGGTCGTAGCCGAGGCCGAGGCTGTCCGTGTCTTCCAAGTCCAAGTCAAGGATGGCCTGCACTAAGTTGACCTTTGTCGGAGCTTTTTCCTTGACCTTGGATTCGGGGCGGACTCCTGTAATCTGCTCGACGGCCTGTTCCGCCTCGATCACGGCGTTGGCGCACTCCATCAGCCTCGCCTGCTGCTCGGCCAGCAGCTTGCGTGTGGCCGCGACCTCCTCGTACGTCGTCTCGTACTTCTCGTTGGCGCGCTCCAGTCGCGAAGCCGCGTTGCGAAGCTGGCGAGGGCGTGACAGTGCGGGCTCCTCCACCTGCGGGGCCAAGCCGTCGGCGACTGCCTTCAGCTGCTCCGCGGGGCCGCTGGTAATGCCCATGCTGGAGAGGGAGCTCGCAATGTCGCGGAGCGCGTTGGCCATCTGCTGCTGCTGCGGGTCGCTGCCCTTAGAGCCTTTGTGGCCTTTGTCGTCGCCTTGGGCTTGACTTTGCATCCGCAGGAGCACGTCCAGTTCCACTTGCTCCAGTCATGGTTGTAGTGCCACTCGCCGCAGACCTTACATGATGACCAGGGCCAAGCGTTCGAAGAGCTGCTGCTGCTGCCCTTCCCACTGGCGTAGCTGCCCCTGCCGCTGCCCTGGCCTCGGTATCCACCGCACCCCATGGTCTCGGAGTCGTGGCGGTAGTGCTGGTGGTGCTGCGCGCTGTGGTGCTGCTGGAGCCTGTTGGCGGCGTCGAGCACCCTCACCAGCACGCGCGCCGAGGACCGTCGCTGGCGGACTCGGCGATGCCAAGCTGGCTCCTTGGCCGCCGTCTCCAGCCGCAGGAGGAGGAGGAGGAGGAGGAGGAGGAGGAGGAGGAGGAGGAGGAGGAGGAGGAGGAGGAGGAGGGGGACGGGTGGGGGGAGGGGGAGGGGAGGAGGAGGAGGAGGAGGAGGAGGGGAGGAGGAGGAGGAGGAGGAGGAAGAAGACGAGTAATAATAACAATATTAATACTAATCCGAATAATACAACTACAAATGAGCAGAACGCGAATAGTAATAATAGTAAGAAGTAATAATAGTACGAATAATAAGAATACTACAATACTAGTAATACTAATGCTATGAAGAAGAATCGTAATACGAATAAGAAGACTAATACTAATCAGAAGAATAACAAGACGACGCATAATAGTAGTAATAATAATGAGAAGAAGAGGAGGAGGAGGAGGAGGAGGAGGAGGAGGAGGAGGAGGAGCAGGAGGAGGAGGATGATCCACATCGCGTTCCTGCCCGCATGGAGCACCGTTGAGGACAGAGCGCCGATGTCGAGAAGACAAGCGTTGATTGTGAATTGCGTGTGGTGAGTAGGATCGAACGACCCGCATATGATCCTATCGGCCGGCTAGGTGAGAGTGGGAATGCGTATTCACAAGGAATATGGATGGTGATGAGGAGGAAGAGCAGGAGCACGATGATGATGATTTTGACTCTGGTGGTGATTATGCTGCCGCTGCTGCTCATGATAATGATGATGTTCAGGCTGATGCTGACGATGATGATGATGATGATGATGATGATGATGATGATGATGATGATGATGATGATGATGATGATGATGATGATGTTGATGATGATGCTTATGATGATGATGATAATGATGTTCAGGCTGATGATGATGATGATGATGATGATTATGATGATGATGATGATGATGATGATGATGATGTTGATGATGATGATAATGATGGTGATGCTGCTGCTGCTGCTGCTGCTGCTGATGATGATGATGATGATGATGATGATGATGATGATGATGATGATGATGATGATGACGGGGAGAAGAGCAAGGAGATGGAGGAGGAATTGGAGGAGCTCGTGCTGGAGTGGGCAGAGCCGCGGTTCCGATTCGATTCGATTGGGTTCTGTGCGCCGGCATCGGCTGGGGCAAGCCGGAGCTGGGCGCGGCGATCCGATGCCGGCTCGATCCGGGACGATCCGCTGGCGGTCCGATCTGGGTCCGATCCGATTGTTTTCTGGTCCGGCGGATGGGACCCCATCCCCGACCGAGGTTGGGCGGCGCGCAGAGGGGGCAGGGGGTAGGGGTAGGGGGGAAGGCTTCTGAGAAAGAGGCTGCTTCTTAGAAGGCGCCAGCCCTACATCTACAGAGAAGGCCCGCGCCTTCTGAGATCCAGGGGTGCTTCTAGGAAGGGCCTCCCCCCCTCCCCCTACCCCCTTCGTCCCCCCTTTCCCTATCCCTTACCTCCTTCTGCACGCCGCCAAAAGGTGCCCCTCGTTCCTCCTGGGGGCGCGCGAGCCCGAGCCCTGCGTGGTCTGCAGGGAGCCGATGCTGCCGCAGGACGGGCACCACCCGTGGCGGCCACTGCTCGGCCTCGCGAGGGGAGGGCCAAGCTTCCGTGCTGCTCTTTGGGACGCTCCTGACCCTCTCTAGGCCTCTAGGGCTTCCAGGGGTTGAGCATGGCGTCGGTCGGTGGTTCGATGGTGATGATGATGATCACAATTTTCATGATACTAGTGAGTCTTCTTTTCGCGACTACTAACCAGCACCAGCACCACCATTACTACTACTACTACCACCACCACCACCACCACCACCACTACCACTACTACTACTACTACTACTACTACTACTACTACTATTACTACTACTACTACTACTACTACTACTACTACTACTACTACCACTACTACTACTATTAATACTACTATCCTTATTATTTCTACTACTACTACGACTTCTACGACTACTACTACTACTACTACTACTACTACTACTACTACTACTACTACTACTACTACTACTACTACTACTACTACTACTACTACTACTACTACTACTACTACTACTACTACTACTACTACTACTACTACTACTACTACTACTACTACTACTACTACTACTACTACTACTACTACTACTACTACTACTACTACTACTACTACTACTACTACTACTACTACTACTACTACTACTACTACTACTACTACTACTACTACTACTACTACTACTACTACTACGACTGCTACGACTACTGCTACTCAACAGCAACTATTATTAATGCTACTAATTTGCGAATGATACCTCTCCTATTCATAACACTAGGAACAATTATGCTGATGATGATGCTGATGATTTTGCTGATGCTGCTGCTGATGCTGGTTCTGATTCTGATGCTGATGAGGATGATGATGATGATGATGATGATGATGGTGATGATGGTGGTGGAGGTGGCGATGCTGCTGCTGATGAGTATGATTTCTATTTTTTTCAATACTATTCTGATGATTCGGTATCACGATGATTCTTGTCATTGATATTGTTATTGTTATTATAAGTATTGTCATGCTCATTCTCACCATTCGTATTATCTGTTATTATTCGCTTCCGTTATTATGATTACGTATCATTGTTGTTGTTGCCAGTGCAACTATTGTTATCATGAATGTTGTTACTACTTGTGCTACTATCCGTATTCTCGTTATTATTATTGTTTGTTTCAGGAATAGTATTCATTTTATTTTTTATTGCTATCATTACTCGTACTCTTATTATCACTGTTTTTCACGCTTCGCGTAGCCCCACCGGCTAGTCGCGGCCGCAGCCCGACCGTGACCGCCCGCCGCTGGCGCTTCCGCCTGCGGCTGTAAAAAAAAGAAGCCCCACCGGCCCATCCAGAAACGATGCCCAGGCGAGTTGCCTCGCGGCGTCTCCTCGGATGTCTCTTGGACGCTTTTTGGATGCCTCTTGGAGCGTCTTGGGGGCCTCTTGGCGGTCCTGGGGGCCTCTTGGAGCGTCTTGGGTGCCTCTTGGAGCCTCTTGGGGCCTCTTCTGGGTCTCTTAGGAGCCTCTTGGAGGCCTCTTGGGCGCCTCTTGGGGCCTCCTGGGTGCCTCTTAGGCCCCTCTTGAGGTGTCCCCATGAGGCCCAAAGTAAGCCCCCAATGGCCCCCACGCGGCTCCTGAGAGGCCCCACGAGGCTTCAAAATTGCTTCCAAGAGGCTCCCCAGAGGCTTCCCAAGGAGGAGGAGCATTAGGAAGGACGATGGTACGAAGAAGGGGATGCCGAGGATTATCTGCATGGGGAACACCGAGTATTTTATGTTGGGTCGAGTTCCCGAGCTCACCCCTGCTTTGGCCCCTCGCCGCGTCTGTCGAGCTCCCGAGCTCCCCTCCGTCTTTTTGCCTTTCACTCTTCATGTGCTCTCTCGGCCCCTCCTCCGTTACACCCGGGTAATTTGTTAGTCATCGGCCAAGGGACAGGTGACACGGGGAAAGCAAATCATAGGCATTCACGATGCCCCCAAGAGCCCCCCACAGCCCCAAAAGGCCCATGGCAGCCCAGACAGGGCATTCTGTAGATTCTCTGGGATCAACGTTCAAACGCATTCCCTTTTTTGCTTGTGTGTGTGTGTGTGTTGCCAATCCGCCGGAGCAGTCGCACTCTGCCCAGCCGCCGACGCATATATATATATATATATATATATATATATATATATACATATATATATATATATATATATGTGTGTGTGTGTGTGTCTGTGTGTGTGTGTGTGCATGTGCATGTGTGTGTGTGTGCGTGTGTGTGTGTGTGTGTGTGTGTGTGTGTGTGTGTGTGTGTTTGAAGCGTTGCAGCATTTTCCCTTTATCTGGCGCCAGCGATCCCAGACAGCCCGCGAGGCCCGAATATCGCTCCGAGACCGCTCAAGAGGATCATAACAGGGCCACGAGACAGCCCGTAGACAGCCCAGAAGGCCCCCATGACGACCAAAGAGGCTTCCAGTATGGCCCCAAGAGAGGCTCGAGAGGCGGAAAGCGAAGGGACCTTCGAAGTTTTTCCCCCGAATATGGTCCCCAAGGCCCCCCAAATGCCTTCCAGCGTCCCCCAAGAGGCCCCCAGTTGTCCCAGATGCTACCCCTAGATTGCCCCAAAAGCTTCCCCAGGGGCCCACGAGACGATCCAAGACATCCCTTGGTTGTATTATCCTCTGTGTATTATTCTCGCCGATGTTGATGTATTGACAAACGTAATGTCTATGTACATCCATGATGAAGTGCCTCCACTTCAGCAGGCCGATGATTTCCCTCAGAGCGGTATGTGCCATGCCGGCTATTATTCGCAAGGTGGACTGCTACCAGAGTTGTTTGGGGATCGCTCAAAGATGTCTGTTGTTGGATATTGCGCAGCTTCATGCCATGATGCATTCACGTGTTGCCCTTCAAGTTCAGCTTGTGGTGGGGTGTCCGAGCTAGAGATTACGACTGGACCGGAACAGGCACTACGTGCCAAGCGATGGGTTGCGGTGAACCTATATCGCATGGCAATTGGCAGTCGTGCGTCCAGCCAACGCAGGTTCCTCCCAACTTGGTGAAGTTGGCCCAACACTGATTCCAACGTGCTTCGGGGACTTGGGTGGTACAGGCCAGCCAGTTGACCATAAATTCAAACGACGCTCCATGCGGTCATGGAGGGCCCCAAATAGAGGAACAAACAATGACATGAACATAAAACTCAGAGGTCCGCGCGGATTTCTCGGATTGGCGCTCGACCCCCCTCCCTGGCGCACGGAGCGCGCCAGGGGCGGCGCCAGAGGCGACGCCAGGAGGCCCTAGCGCCGATCCGAGAAATCCGCGCGGACCTCAGAGTTTTATGTTTATGCATTGTTCGTTCCCCTACAAGAGGCTTGGATGCCAAAAGGGACCCACAGTGGCCCAGCGGCGCCTTCTCGGCACGGATCGGTGCGAAGTCGCCCGACAGAGCACAGTGGACGAGGCCGTTCGGGCCCGATCGAATTCCAGGCTTGGCCGCCACAAGGAGCAGGGCGAGAAGGAGGAGGAGGAGGAGGAGGAGGAGGAGGAGGAGGAGGAAGAGGGGGAGGAGGAGGAGGAGGCGGAGGAGGAGGAGGAGGAGGAGGAGGAGGAGGAGGAGCAGGACTCCCTCCTGGAGCGCCAGTCACCTCCTCGTCTCGACGGTGCTTTTGGCACTGACGGGCCGATTGCGGGGGGAGCGCTGGCTGGCCTGTTGGGGATTGGCGAGTCCTGCATGAGCCCCAACTTCTCGCATGCGTCTCGTGCTGGCTGGTGGGCCATCTTCGGACCGCTGCCTTGTGCCCTCCACGAGATCGGGGCGGTGGAGTTGTGGGCCTTCTATCTGTGTTTGTGCCATTGCGTCGTCATCACAGGTTGTATGAACCTTGTAGAGGGTGTGGCGGCGGTGCGTGATTCGTGCTGCCGCCCCTCGAAGGTCTATTTCGAGATTTGGTGCAAGATCTGGTTTAAGCTCGAAGATATCGGTCAGAACCAAGTCGATGTGCGTTGGATCCGCTCCCATGCCTCCTGGCAGGAGGCGCAGGCCCAGGGGGTCCAGTGGTTGCACTTTCGCGCCAATCGGTTGGCGGATAACTTTGCGAAGAAAGGCGCGAAGATGCATCCCGCGTTCGAAGAAATTGAGGAGCAGAGGCCACTGTTATGGTGGTCTGCCAACTTCGTCGCGCTGTATTCAAGGAGAAATCTGGAGCATCTGGCGGCCGCCTCCTCTCCCGATGCCCTTGAGCCTCGGTTCCGTCGTGTGTTCGACCCGCTCGAGTTCGTTTCGAACCCTGAAGGGCATCGGGGTAAGTTGAGAGGCGGCCGCTGGTGCTGTCTGTGCTGTGTTCGCGACAGTAAGACCAGAGCCCGTCTTGTCCAGGATCGGTGTCCAGGGGTGTCCTCCCAGCTGGCTCAGGCTCACTGGTCTCACAGGCTGTGGTGGTCGGGGGGACTCGAGGGCTTGGTCTGGTGCAGCTCGTGCGGGGCGTGCGCTAGGACGCCGGTGTTGGTCCTGGTTGAGTCCTGTTTGAAGCGCCCCACTGACGGCCGAGTCCGAGCCCTAAAGGAGCTGAAACAGGGTACTCCAGATTTCGTAATAAAGGGAGGGGGGTCTCATTTCGGGGGGGGTCTCTTCCAGGCTATCTTGGAGGGCCTGGGGGGTCTGGGGACGATGTTTTGGAGGGTTCTCCCACGGGGGAGGTCTGAAATGGCTTGTCTTGGAGGGTCCAGACCCCCTCCCTTTTATTACGAAATCTGGAGTAAGGACCCCACCTCCAAACTGCCCATCCTTCGGTTCAGCCCCGTGGTGCCACCGCTGTCCCCTCGCCGTGTCGGCTGGGCAAAGGGGACTCTATGAGGTTTTGGCCGAGAGGCGGGAGATCTGCTGGGAGGACTTTGGTTGGCGGATTTGTGGTTGGGTGTCTGAGGCACCGCGACCACCCCTTCGTTCAGCGCAATCGTGGAGGCTGCGTGGATTGCGGTGGTTCCATCGGGGCCGCCGTGCGAGGAGCGGAATGCGGAAAGAGGAGGATGAG